GGTATTTCATTGGTGTTTATATAACAAAATTATTTCTCACACAGAGGTAACAAATATGGGCATCTAAACATGAGTGATGTGTACAAACCTCTGAAAAGCACTCATGTCGATACCTTTCTTTTAGCAAACGAGACAATGTTATGCTGTGATTAAAACAACATAATTGAACATTGTCAAATTGAAACAGATGGAATATATGAAATCAAAAATCTTCGGGTCTCAACCCTCCCAGGATTGAGGGTGAATGCCTCCACTCAAAATACATGTTAGTAATAATTATTCAAACTATTGAACTCATCTGAAAAACAAATCAAGTTTGTACAAGCTTCACCACTGATTTGTGAAGATTAACTTTCACCAAGATTCACTCCTTCCTCTTGTGCTTTGACCCAGTGAAACCGACGCAGTGAGATTGGATTTCCACCAATGACATGCCCCTTTGAACCAGCAATGTCCACTAATCTGTTCACATCACGCAAGTTCCACAAGTTAGCGATACAAACTGTCGGCAAGAGAAATCTCACCGACTTGACTCTGCAAGACTGTCCCAATAGATAATCTTTCACAGCTAGTTCATCAAGATTTTCTGGTAATTTGGTCATCAATACTCTAAGACTCAGAAAGTCAGACGGCTGACCAGCAAATGAGCGGTTTGCTTTCTGTACTCTCAGCTTGCACCCATTTACTTCATGAATTGTCCTGTTCAAGGCATTTTCTAGTGCCTCTTCATTGCTAAAAGCCACAGAAACGCCTGTCAATGTTGATGCTACCTTTTCAGAATGATAATTTGTGAACCCTAGGTACTCAATAGATCCGAACCCTTCAAAATAGTTTCGTAACATTTCCAATGTCACATCCTCAGGAACATCACTCACATGTAGTTTTGGCAAATGGGGTCGGCCTGAAAATTTATCATCTACAACTTTCACAACAACAGCCTGATCCTGGGAAGGTATCTGATGAAATGTATCATTTAAAGATCCAATTCCACCATCAATAGATTCAAAGGCAACTAGGCAGGAATCTCTTGTGTCACCAGATCGATGTTTGTTGATAAACAGGACTTCTGCTACTTTCCCGAATTTCGAAAAATAATCCTGAATTTCTTTCTCTGATGTTTCTCCAGTGATATTGGACACCCAGATTTTATTTTCCTCTTCTTGACTACT